GCCTTGATGCTAATCTTTATTTCTATAGACAGTTGCTAAGTATAAATACACCCTATCAGCTATGCAACTCTAATCTAAAGCTGTTTGCCACACCAGAATAAGAAGTGGAGTAGAAAGAGTTTGAAAGCAAATCTAAACTTCAGAGGATATGCTAATGATTGATGACATTTTCTTGTCAGCTGTTATTTTTATGAACAGATAGCACTACTATTTCGGAAAAGAAAACCTTAAAAAAGCATAGGGGTATTTGAAATAGGAGCATTCAGGCATCGTGGGGGTCGTACGTGGCAAAAGAGATGGGATAAAAAGGTTATATTTTGTCCAGTAAAGAATGTCAACACTCAGTAGAGCAGCAGCAAGAATTCAGTATAATTCTGCCTTCAAAGACTGGCGACTGCAGGAGCTGGCTCAGGTAAAAGTATCCCAGGATGACTTTTGTGAGACCAGGGTGCAATTTAAAGCACATTTTTTGGAAAAGATTTCAAAACATTTGGAGAAGTTTCAATGCTGCTGTAAGCTGTTCTTTTGTCCCACTTCCAGCATCTGATCACACTTTGCAGATCCATGTTGCCATGGCAAAAGCTGTGATGTTGTAGCACATGCACTACAGGAAGGATCCCTTAAGAACAGGGTGGTGAGCTGGGGGACCACACATATATGTCCTGCCTTTAAATTCAGTATCTGATTTAATATATTAAATAACGATGGCTGAATATAAATGAAATATTAATCAATCTTTCCTGAATTTATTGAAGACATGTCAGCTTGCTTATGAAGTTCTTATGTTATGAAGTTCTTCCTTATGGAAGCATTTTGAAGCCATTTGGAAAAAGAAACAATGTATTCCCATTTCTTCCCTCACAATGTTATGCAGACTGGACCTTATCCAATTCAGTCATGAAATCTGAATAGGTTACAGAGCTGGGCAATAAAGAACTGCATGAAATTTAATGAGAGCAAGTCTTGGCTTGTCTACCTGGGATGGCACAATCCTGGTTATACATACAAATTGGAGTACAAGACTCTGAAAAGCAGCACCATGGAAAGAAAGCTGAAGATTTGGGTGGATGGCAAATCGACTAATAAATGACTAATATAAAGGGCCATCCCCATCCTGGGGTTCATCCAGCACAGCATCCATCACTGGCTGGTTGAGGGAGATGATTGTCCCCCTCTACTCTGCAATAATTTGACCTCAGCATGAGTGCTGTGTGCAGGTTTGGGTGCCTCAGTGTAAGAAGGATGCAAAATTATTGGAGAGCATCTGAAGGAGGGGAATCAACGCGGTGAAAGGCCTGGAGGACTTGTAAGGGGCATCTGAGGTGCCTTGCTTTGTTCAGCTTGGAAAAGAGAAGAGGCTACACCTTTCCCCAAGGAGGGAGGATGATCTCTTCCCTCTGGTGACCAGTGTCAGGACATGAAATGGAATCAAGATACATCAGGGGAAGTTCAGATGGGACATGGGGAAAAGCTTCTGCATGGGGTGGTGGTCATTCCCTGGAAGAGGCTACCCAGAGAAGTGGTCACATGTCAAGACAGTCAGATTTCAAGGAGGGTCTGGACTACGCTTTCTATTGTATTGTATTGTATTGTATTGTATTGTATTGTATTGTATTGTATTGAGTTGTACTGTATTGAGTTGTACTCAATTATCCTTAAGGGTCACTTCCAACCTGAGGAATACCTCACAGAATACTGTGACTCTGATTTTAAATCAGATATAACAACCACCACATGTTATCTGAGGGCTTTCACGGACACTTTGCATAGGTTCTTTCTTGCATTTACACTCAGCCTGGTTGTGTTCAGCATCTGCTGCAAAGGAAGACAAAGTTTCTTTCAGCTTTAGGGGTAAAAGGCCTTTGGATCATGGGCAAATTCAGCTTCAAAACTGACTGGGCTCTTTCAGTACCTGGCTTCCTAAATACTCACAAGATGAATGTGAACATGCATGCTAAGTTCCCTATAGAAAATTATCTTGGTCTCAGAGATCATGTTTCACATTTTCTTCCTTACTATTTATGTTCTGCTCTGAAAGTAAATGAATTCTAAATTGAATCAGCAATTCGGGCTTGCTACATTTCATTGATCTATGACAGATCAGAGTTTGATGCTGAGCTAATGTGGCCCCAGGCATCAACCTTTACCACTAATATGGTTTTAAAATTCTCAGCTCAAGTCTATTTATTATGAATGTAATCTGTTTTAGAAAAGCACCTAAATCTCCACTAATGATTCATTCAGATGCATGCACTGTCCTCATTTAAAATGTCCAGGTCAACCCCGCTTATCCTGATTATTTTAATAGTGCACATTGTTCTATATTATCTGGTTTGCTTCCACTCTCACTCTGGTTCAGATATTTTTTGCCTGACTCACACAGATGACAGACTGGGATGATTTATTTCCTTATGGAACATTCTTTGTATTCTATAGTTATTTTTTGCCACAGTAACACTTTATTACCATCCTCTTCCAGCAGCTCACTCTCAGCCACAAGTGAAATTTCGGGAAGCTTTCTGAAATTTCTTATGATCTGCCAACCAACATTTAATCTGGGATACTATACCCCAGATTCTTAACTCAAAAAAAATTAGTTCTGGACCTCAGTGATTCTCCAGTGATTGTCATCCATCAACACTAACAGGAAAGTGATTCAGCCTCCTGATGTCAGCAGATAGAGTTCAAAAACATTTACATTTGTCATCTGGCTTGTCACCTTTGATAAGTCTCTTCTTTACTCCTTCTACTTTGCTTATTTGATATACGGCATCCCCTTCAATTTCTCCTTATTTTCCTCACATGTGCTTCTTCCTCCCAAGCACAAAGCAGGGAAATGAATGTTTCTATTTACTAAACTGAAAAATTAAACCCTGTGTTCAACTGGAATAATAATATTTTGGTTCTTCATCTGAAAGGACTAAAAACAAAAGACAAACAAATCCCTAATATATTTTCTGTATTGTTGATCTTGTTGATCTATTGTACATGATACTTCTTGGGATTTATTTTATTATTTTATTTTATTTTATTTTATTTTATTTTATTTTATTTTATTTTATTTTATTTTATTTTATTTTATTTTATTTTATTTTATTTTATTTTATTTTTATTTTATTTTCCTTAAAGACTAGGTAATTTGTCAAACAAAATACCAAAACTATGAAACCTAAAAGAGCATTTCTTTTTGAAGTTCTTACATAATACATTTCAATATTTTGTAATGGAATACTTTGTTGAAAAATATTGGCCATAATTGGGTTTAAACTGCTTCTCAGTACAACTTGAATTCACGAACATGTGGATTTTTCAGTGAATTTACTGTCCCTAGAAAATCTGTGGTCATGTCTACATATAAACAATGACTAACAAGATACTGTTAGTCCTATTAATGTTGTATGCTTTGGCTTAAAATTTACACAGTCTTGTCAAAATAATTTCAAAATATGTTCTGATTTCAATAAATGCCCCTAGTGCTTGTGATGAACAGAGCATTGTCTATAATAAACTTCGAAATTTTAAGGCTTTGGATTTAATAGGGACATTCAAATTAATTCAGTGTTAGATATATCTATCTATCTCGTGGAAATACCTTCCATCTCTGGAAATTTCTCATCTAAAGGCAAAGTAGATAATCTTGCAAGATCTTTTCCCTATTGAATAAGAAAAATATTTCCAGGCTGGTTGCTCTCTTGAGGGTTTGTTTCATGGCAGACTTCAGGCTCAACTCAAATTTGCCCTTGAAGAGAAATGCTGTTCGCCATTTTGCTGTACACCTCGGTTTTATTTATCTGAGTTCTTTTAGGGCAGCTCATTGTTTCAGAGGAGTTAAAAAAGCACCTGAAAAGTCATGTGCATCTCAGTTGTGCATTTCTTCTGGTTGTCAAGGAAACCACCGCAGGATTCCTGGCAACAGACTTCATCTCAATCGGTAATGGAAACACCACAGGTATTAGCCAGTCAGTCACCTCCCACCGGGTGCTATTTTGGGAACGAGTCCATAGATCAGATTCTCCCCTTCCAGCAGCTCTGAAGCTGTGAGGGTTTGTCGTGTGCCTTTGTCTCTGTGGGGTTCAGCTCTCAGGCAGTTTCTCTGGGCAGAGAGCCATCCTAAAGGTGAGACCGTTAAACACTACTCTCAAGGTACAAAAAAAAGCCTTCAAAGCACTATGGTAAATGTGTCTCTAACTTTCCTAAAGTCTGGAGTGAAGGCTAAAAATTACCAGGCAGAAGATGGTAGTAGCCTTTGTTTCAAATGGACTCTCTTTCTCTTCATATACCAAAACTGTACAAAAACCAAGCACATTAGTAATGGATACCTATTTAGTCATCAAATGTCCTGAAGATGTTGACTGATATCTCCAGTCCTGGGAACGGCAGAACACTGTGGTTATGGTTCTGGGGTCACCTGTGAGTGCTACAGGAAGTCACACAGACTGAGTCAAAGTGCCCCTGCTACCAGCCTGTTCTCAAACTGAGTTTGTCCAGAGAGCATCCAGAAGGGTAAAGTGCTTTATTTCCAAAAAGGGGACAGAAAAGGAGTGTGACTGGGGATGTTCATAGGAAATGACGGCGCAAGCTGGAAGAAAGTTACTTGAACACTAAGGGGAAAATACAGGACAGGATAATGGGGAAGACAGATGGTAGGAAGTAAAACTGTGATGTACATCTGAAATGGATATGTAAAACAGGGGTTAGAAACCTTTGGGGTGGGAATGAAAGAATTATAAGAAATGTCACCATAGGGAGAAATGGTTGTGGACAATTGAAAAATCAAGAGTAGGGAATTTATGGTAAAAAATAGATAGGCCTGTACCATCACAGGACTGCATGGTGTTTCAGTTTGTGAGGGAAAAATCTGAGGTAATCTCTACGTAATTAAGCATTTTGGAAGGAAAATCTGGGGTAATCTGTAGGGACTGAAGGAGAGGTGCATGCCCCAGGTGATGCTGAGGGCACTGAAGGAATGGCTGCCCCCCCGGGTGGTGCTGAGCAGACATGGGGGTCACTGAGGGGAGGTTGATGTTGCCTACGCTCCTCTGATGAGCTCATGGGGGTCACTGTGGGGTGCCAAATGCTTTGTGTGTTGCTGAGAGGGCATAAAGGTGGCTGAAGGAATGGTGGGTGCCCTGCATCTTGCTGAGGGGACATGAGGGTCATTTGAGGAGGAGGCAGGTGCCCCAAGCACTGCTGAGGAACCATGAGGGTGTCTGAGGGGCTTTTGGGTACCCTGCATGTAACTGAGGTGGTGGCAGATGCCCTGTGTGCCACTGAGGGGGTCTGCAGATCACTGAGGGGGATGAGGGTTTGCCGGGGCTGGGTGACCTCCCTGAGGGCAGGGCTGGGACTTTGCTGTTGGCCTTTTGCCCTTGTGCTCCTTTGGCTGCCTGGAGAGAAGGGCAGCCCTGTAAGGGGGGTGAGAGCCCCTGACTCCACACGTGAGGGAGGAAATGGAGCTCTCCTGACCCCCAGCCTGCCCTGTAAGCAGGGCAGGGGTTTTCCCCTGCCTCGGCCTTGTCCCTGCTCTCTGAGGACAGAGCGAAGCTGCTTAGTGGTAGCGTGGGCACTGTGACCTGTAGGCAGGCCTGGGTCTCTGCCTATGCTGCATGGCTGACAGTCCTGCTGGTGCCCTGACACTCAGGGCATGTGTCATGACCTTGTGGAGCCTTTAGTCCCCAGGAACATCCCGTGGTTCCTCTACACAGGAAATGGATTGGAGGGCGGGGAATTAAATAAAAAGAAAAAGAGAATATTGTCTGGGATGGTACTATTATCATTAAGAGAAATCTAATCTTAGAATTTGGAGAATCTTCTCTTAGCTTTTTCTGTTGCTGACCTCATGGAAAAGCCTCTGCCAGAGGTAAATGCTCCCAGGCCTAGATGATCCCAGGTAGGTTACTGGAAGTCCCAGAGTTTCTTTTTGGTTGAAGAGGAATCAGTTCATTAAAATCCCCTCTTTCCTCTCACAGTAGTGTAGGAAAAGTAGACAAATCCAGAGTAGTGTCCCGTCATGTTGATGACAAGTGTTCTTTTTTCTCCCTTTGTGCATTCTGCTCTCATGAGGGAAAAGAAAAAGGTATGGTAGTGGTGAAGTACTCAGATAAACAGTGATTTTAAAGGGAAACAGAGTAGTAAGGTAACTGCGAGTAATCATAGTACTACTTGCAAATCTTTTCAAGGAGATTTACAACCTGTTGAGTTCAAAGTTTGTGGAAATCAGTTTCTGGAAGGAAAAGTTAAGCAAATAATCATATTCACCTGAAAGTCATTAACAAAATAACAGCCATAAACTGAATTTGTTTAAATAATACCAAATTAAACCTAATTTCATCTGTTTTAGAGTAAGAGGATGTATGGAGAATGTCCTACATGACATACCTCAGCTTCAAGAGGAAACTCTTTGATAGTCTTCCACAGTAATTCATAAAAATGGATGAAGGGAAAATGTAAGAAAGTAATTTAGTGCAAATTGTTAGTGTTTAGTGTAATGATGTGTAATGATGCAGTGTTGAAGCTGAAAATTAATTTAATGTTGTCCTTTAAGGACCAGTGTTGAATCTGTTGCTACTTAGTATTGTCATTAATGAGCAATTATGATCTTTGCAATTTTGCAGGTGACATTGATCAGAGAGTGCCTGAAGAACTGGAGGGCAGGAATCCAGGTGATGCTGTTGAACTGGAAGTGAGAATTGACAAAACTGCTGATACTTCATGACAGGGATACAGATACTGTTCTTAGGCAAAACTAGTTGAGTCTTCTAATACAAGATAGTGAAGAAATGGTTGGATTGCAGGAGTATAGAACAAGATATTTTTTTGCTTACTAATGACCCTGAAACACAATGACAGGTTGTAAGAGAAAGCCCACAAGTTAAAAAAAGAATAAGCAGGTGTAAACCTCATAACACAATCCTTCTCTCCATTCAGATCCAAAGGAGACCTGAGCTGGAAATCTGGGTCCAGTTTTCTTGGGCAGCCAGTACACTGAACCAACAACCAAACTGGAAAAAGTGAAATGTTGCTCCAGCTCAAATTTATGATATCACAGTTATATTTGATGTTGATTTGAAGGTGAAAACAATGAAAAAAAAAAAAAAAACCTAGGAGAAACTCATAACACTTGTGCAAAGTGTAATGCAGCAAAGGAAGAAGCACTGAAAATTGCTACTGTTGAGATTTGTTACAATAGTCACACAAAAAGCTAGTGGACCTTTCAATTGAAAAGTTAAAATTAGATGGGCATTTCTATTTGAGAAGGATAAAATTGTCATTACAAGAAAGAAAGATGCCATTTCTATTAGAACCATTAGTTATATTTTTATTTTTTTTTTAATCCTTAGAAATTCCATGCTACATGATCTTGAATGTTGATAGTTCTATTTTCTAACAAACCCAGGAGGAAACATATTTCAAAGACACAAACTTAAATTTGTTTGCAAGACTGTGTCTAAACTGCAGGAAACCAGTTTGGGAGATATATAGACAATGTCCCTATGTATGTTTGTACTCACCTCTGAAGAAAAATTCTATGGAAGCCTTTTAATTTTCTATCATAAAATGGGCAGGGCTCACATAAAGGAAAAATCTTTTGTATTGAATACATGTGAATTGACTTCGTGACTGACCTCCCTGTAAAGCAGTGATGACATGGTTGTATATGCTATGCCAACTTTGCTGTTTAACCTCACTGCTTCAAAAGGCTGTTTAAAAAGCCCTCAATAATATTGCTTGGAGTAATAAATAATAGCTACAAGGAAAAATTTACAGTTAACATAGTGAAAGAAAACCATAAAAATTTTAAAGCTTAGTAAAAGAATTAAAGCAGTTTTCTACGCTCTTATGAGTCCCTTCTAGTCAAAAAGAACAACAATTATATAACTACTGTTAACTGCATTAGACAAAAGCACCAGAATATCATGAATAGAGAAACCAGTGCTGTGTTAGTGAAGTTGGAAAGAAACTTTGCTCTTATTCACTGTCTATTCCCCTGTAATTTTAGGAATTTCATATGTATAATCTTCTAAACCAAAGAAATAGATTTATGACTGATTAAATGTATCACTCCATCAACTGCTAATTGACTTTTGAAAACTTGAATAACCTCACAGTTTGCTTGTGTTCCCCTGCAGATCTGTGTTCAGACCCTCATTCTGTAGTCCCCTCATTATTGCTTCCTCTATCCATATCTTCCTGCATGTCACCCTCCTAAGGAGAAAGTTATGGGAATTTTTTCCAGCAGTGAGTTTCACCCTAAGAGATGGAAATTTGTTCTTTTAAAGGCTAAAGAAAATTTCATGGTTATTAACATGCTGGTTTTTTCAATGCAACTTCTCTCTATGTGCTTATTCTAGGCAGGGATGCAGGCATCAGCTTTTATTAAGCTTATTCAAAACTTTCCATTGTAGCACCCAGCTTGCTTATAGACTTGAGAAAGCTTTGGTTGTTTCAACACAAATTTGTCAAGTGCATTTTGAAACAGTGATTTTATATTTTTCTAGACTTGAAATGCTCCATTAAATACTGCAGAGATATAGGAAATATGGGCAAAATAATAGCAGACAGAGAAAACAGTTTCACATCTAGGACTTTCATCTGCGTAAATCAAGAAGGAAAAAAAGAACAAAACCTGGCCTGAATTTTTTGTAGAGCAAAGGTATCTTTTTTAACCCCTGAAAGAGCAGGGAAATGCCTCACCACTCTTACTCGAGGTAGGAAACAATGGCACAGAGGGTTTTAAGTGTTTTGAAGCTGGATGTCCTTTGACAAGCTGGAGGAGAAGAGTCTTGGGTTTTTCTCACTCAGGAGTTGTCAGGGTTCCCAGGACACCTCCAGGAGTCCCTCACTATAACACTGGAGACACGTGTTTCTCTAACACAGAACTTCAGGACCACAGGCAAAATAATTAAATTCCATATTTTCCATAATTCATTTTTAAGACAATCAAGAGATAGGCAGAAGAAATATCAGGGAACAAAAATGCTGTAGAAGGGGAAGAAGACACATGTATGTCACATCTTGTAAATCCTAATATAATGTTATTCAGAAGTTTATAGACATTTATGTTTTAGCTACAGCTGAACACTGATTTACATAAAAGCTGAAAACTCTTGACAACTTGAAACTTAATTGACAAAGAAGATTAGGGTAGATGTTGTCAGAATGATCCCAGTGATAAAACAGAGCATTGCAGGTGTACTAACTCAGGTTAATGCATGGTAACAATGACCAATAAGATCATGGAGTCAAACCATAACCCAGCACTGCTGGGTTAATGCTGGGTTAAGACCACCATTAAACTATGTCCCCAGGTGCCACAGCTGCACGGCTTTTAATTCCTTCCAGGGATGGTGACCATCACTGCTCTGGGCAGCCCATTCCTGTGCTTGACAATCCTCACAGTGAAGAAATGTTTCCTAGTATCCAACTAAAATTCTTGGCCCAGCTCGAGGTAAATTGAGAACACTGCTGTCTTATGTTCTGTCACTGTCAATGAACATTCTCAGGGTCCTTTTCTACCAGAAAGTTTCCCAGCCAGTGTGTCACCAGCCTGTAGCTCTGCATGGGGTTGGTTGTGTTTGCCTTATTATACCTCATAAAACTGGCCTCCATCCTTTAAGCCAGCCTTTCCAGATCCATCCTCCTACCCTGTAGCAGATCAAAACTCCAACCTAACTTCTCTTGTAGAGACTCACCGAGGGAACACTCAATCCCCTCATCCAGATCATTGATGAAGATATTAAGGTCTGTCCCCAACACTGTTTTTTTACCCAGCAAACAGTGCAGCCATCCACACCATGGGAAGCCAGGTTTCTCCAGGAGAATGCTCTGGGAAATGGAGTGTAAGGCTTTACTAAAGCCTTAGGTAAACAACATCCACTGTCTTCCCTCATCCTCCAAGCAGGTCACTCTGTCATAGAAGGAGATCAGGTTAGTCAAGCAGCACCTGCCTTTCATAAGTCCATGCTGGTTGTCCCATATGATGATCTGCTCCATGACCTTCTGCCATACCAAGGTCAGACTTCAATGAGTCACATGGCATAAAGGCCCAATGGAACTTCCATATAAAGTTAGAAAATCTAATCTAATCTGATGTACCCAGCATGGACAGAATTGGTGATATGAGAGGTTTTGTATATTATACAGTCTCTCAGATGAAAAGATGAAAGTTTTATTATTCACATAAATACCTGAGCTTTTTCAAATCCTTTTTTAAGTCTTAGCTCCATTTTACCTTGTGACAATGACTTGCACAGATTAATTACTTGACAAAAAAACCACTTTCTTCTTAGTATAAATTGTATGACACATCCAAATTCCTCTCTTTACTACCCATCACATTTTTATCTGTCATCTATTGATATGTGAATAGGCAAAAATAACACTGATTTGTACAGATTTATTTTTTTCATTATTTTAATAATCATAACTGATTTTGAATTTTTTTTCTTTTATTTGTTTTATTCTTCCATTTCTGCCATATCTTGGGTGAAGAGAATCCTACAAAATCTATAAAGTTGTCTTTCAAACTACAGTCACTCTTTGCTTTGGCTTACACTGTTTGAGCAGCTAAAATGTTGCTGATAATTTTATGTTTTGTCTCTCCTGAGTACTTTGCTTGCAGTTTCCATATCAATGTAATGATAGCTTTCTTTTCAGATTTGAATTTTTAAGCTTTTTGGTGAAGATGCTGCTTTATTATCTTATTTCTCCCAAGAGGTTGAATAAGTAGGACCAGTGCCACATCTCCACAATATAGCCAAAGTTACTAAGTTCTCATTTCTTTATATAACTGACAGAAATAGATATGGACATTTGTGTTTATTAGAGTAGTTAGGATCAAAAACCTGGCCTCTTGATAGACTATAATAATGTCAGCTGGTATAAAACTGGTTTACTGCTGGTGAATATCAGTGCCAGCTGGATAGACTGTATAGTATAGAAGGACTTCACAAAAATTCCCTTGCATTTTCCCTAGAGAGAAATAAGGGATCAGGAGCTGAAACCTCCATTAATAGTTAATAATCAGTTCCATATACAGCAGTCCAGTTGCATCTCTCATGTATGACAGACCAAAACATTTTGCTTGATAATTTGGTAGGATACAGTAGATAACTCCAAATTTGGTAGGATACAGTAGATAACTCCAACTTCTTTGAATAAACTATATATTTTAGCTCCAGCAATTGTAATGTGTTTGACTGAACCAACATAAAAACATATTTGGTCTTCATTCATATCTGATCAAAGAATAAAAGTACTGATTAGTGGGGAGAACTTCCTTGAAGTTCTGATGGAAAGAAATGCAAAGATTTTTAATGTATAAAAAGTCTTCTAAATCCAGTATATTAAGCAGCACCACTCAGAACTTTCTTAGATATTAAAGTAAAAAGTAAGAAAGTTTGCTGAACAAAGCAACCCCATTAAGTTTTCTAATTCTCCTTCATAGTTTATTGACATGAAGGTAAAGTCATTACATTAATACTCCCTTTTGCAATTAGCCTTATTGTCCATGACAAGTCTCATAAAGACATAGCACTTCATTAGTTTCAAGATGCATTGCTGTGCAGAGTAAGGGAATGACACCTGCCCCAAACTGCTCTAGACTCCACATGAGCAAGATAGTCCTACAATTTCATTGTTGTACATTATTGCCTTAACTAGTGAACTAGTTGAACAAGCATCCTCTTTCTAACCTTCAATGTTTTCTGTATAAATTCAATAGTGTCACCACTTTGCTTGCTGTCTCCTTAGTGACTAATTGATATTGAACAAATTTTTAAGTACTTTTCCCTCTCAATGCAAGTGAAAGGTACCACATGACTGATAAACACTCGTGTTCTGTCTGCATTAGATAAGTTCAATCAGGAATGGTGGCAATGCAGCACAGCTGGTAAGTCAGATGTATAATAGCAGGATACAAGTTTGTTATTTTTTGCTGAGAAGTTATACAAGTGAGCAATAACAGCAGTTTTTTTTATAGATGGAATAATACAGGCTCAAGACCAGAATGTGGGATTTACCTCACTTTTTTTGGTATTAAAGAATACCAGGGAACAAAATGTCTGAGTGAGTTATACTTTAGAGTCAGTGGCAAATAGTAGGCAGTTCAGCTAAGCAACTCACCTGCATCATCTTAGATGCTTATTTTGAAGCAATATGAATTGCATTTGGTGCTTGGGTTATTAAAATTTGTTATGGTCTAAGCACAGCCAACAACTCAGCACCACAAAACCACTCCCTGCCTCCTCCACCAGCAGTATCGAGAATAAGAAGGGGAAAAGAGAGAAGAATTGAGATAAAGACAGCTTAATATGGGAAGGAAAAGCTGCCAAAAATCCCAGAGCAAAATAAGGGATTCATTCACCACTTTCTATGGGCAGGCAGGTGTCCAGTCATCTCCAGGTGATTTGGGAAGACAAACACCATAGCTCCAAACATCCGTCATTCCTTCCTTCTTTCCTCTGCTTTTTATACTAACTGTGATATAAGATCTGGAAAATCCCTGTGGTCAGTTTGGGTCACCTGTCCCAGCTGTGTCTCCTCCCAGCCTCCCTAGCACCCTCAGCCCCACAACCAGCATAGTATGAAAAGCAGAAAAGGCCTTGGCTCTGTGTAAGCCCTGCTCAGCAATAACAAAAACATCTCTATATTATCAACACTCTTTTCAACACTCATCCAAAACATGGCCCTATGCTGGGCGATGTGAAGAAAATTAGCTCTACCCCAGTCAAAATGAGTAGAAGGGTGTAGGTAAGCATATTATAAATATTATACTGAATGCATAAATTTAAGCATAAATTGATATAACAGCTGACTGGGTGTTTCTCTCTCTCCATTGCTTAAAGCTAGAACTTCTAGAACTTGGGTCACTTAGTGTTTGCAAGTACTTAGCTAACAAAAAAAAAAACAAANCCCCCCAAAAAAAAACCCCAAAAAATATAGGCTGAGTGAAACAGCAGGAGCCTGGTAGAAGCAGCCCCCAGTCCTATTTAACCTGTGCTCACTAGAGTCTTTGCATAAAACTGTCTCTGTTTGGACAGCCCAGGAGCAGGTTAACAGCCAATATAAACACCTCAAATTTGTGCTGTAACACTCCCTAACTCATGTTGTTCTAGCTAAAAAGGGATCTATATTTTCCAGACTATGAATATACCATGTACTTTTGAGCATCAAGGTCAAACTGTGATCACATCAGTGAAGCCCAGCAAATGATGGTCAGCCAATATTCACAATTCATGGAAATGAAAATGGTAAGATGATTTTTTTTTCTTTTATGTTTATAGCTAATGAGACATTTCCATTAGAAACCTCGATCAAGTAGGAGAGTTTCAACCTTTGTGTAGGTTTTTTGGAGGGGTGAGCTACTCTGTAAGGTTGCTTACCTTTTCACCTTGACTACCATACAGAATGTGATGGCAAGTAGGTTCCTAATTTAGATGCCTTAAAACTAGGTGGGATGAATCTGGGAGGATTTGTTAGGATACTCCACAATGCTTTAGTACCAAAATCAAAGAAAGCAGAGCCACCACAAGTAGAGGCAGCACTGCTATTTACTAAGAAGAGTTAGAGCATTTCACTGACATGCTGCAGGTATTTCTCTGAGTTGATTCAAGAGAGAAAATTAACTGTTCCAGTCACCAGCTACATAAGCTTGTCTCTTTATCTGAAGCTGTAGCATTTTGCATTTCCTCTTTAAAATAGACTGCCATAAACTGAACATTATTAAGATTTCTTCACAAGGGGAATAAGAAAGTAGAGCTCACTACAGTGTCCCCTGTCTCTTTAATTTCACAGCTGAATTACCAGAGACTTGCTTAAAGAGGAAAAGCTACAAGAAAATTCAGAGCTGCTGGAAACACATATATGTACATATAAATATGTTCAACCCTTTGGGTGTTATTAGAGTGGAAATAACATCTAGAATATGTTAAATCTCTGTGCAATGAAGGAAAGGGTTCATGCATTTTTTAATAGGAAATGACAGAGGGCATTTCATCCCTGCAGAACCATGTTGTT